GTGCCCCGTCAGGGGAGCAGTGTCCTGGAACGGGCCACGGCTAGCGGCCAGCCGCACCCCTGGCCGCAGTGCGGAGCCGACCAGGGGAGCCGGTTCAGCAGCGAATGCCCTCGCTCGGCCAGCAGGCAGGACACTGCTGCTGCCCGCCGCGGCCTCTGTAGGGGCGCACGGGGCGCCCTCCGCCCGCTGCCTGTACCAGGGAGAACGCGAGTGCCCTCGAGCGGAAGAGCGGAGTTTTCAAAAAGCGTGATGGAGCCTCCCTGCATGAGGGAGCGGTCAGCTTCGCACTGACCTGCGAGGAAACAGTGAACGACGAGGAACAGACGTGACCCATAAGTTACCTGAGGCCAAAGCGGACAGGCGGGGGGGTGCGAGCCGCCGAGGCGGCCGTGAGCGGCCCGTCACCCAGTGGCCGCCCTGACTGGCGCGGACCCCGGCCGCAGAGTGAGGGCGTGGGGCGGGCGCCCACATGGGCACGCCCCCAGGCCTGTCCCTCAGAGGCTGCCGGGGCAGGCCGGCTCACCTTGTCCCGCAGGTGGTGCTCTGCGGCCTCGATGTTCAGCGGGTCGTCGAAGTTCAAGAGGTCCTGGGGGGAGGAGGAGCGTGAGCCCAGGGCCGCCCCAGCGCCGGCCCCGCGCTTCTGCTGAGTGGCCATGGTCCAGAGGCAGTGGCCGGCCAGCAGGAGAAGCCGTCCGCCGCGGCCACCCTCAGCGAGGGGTATGCGGCCGGCCGGCCTGGCTCAGACAGCGGTCCTGGGTGCCGGGCACGGGGCCGACCTCCCTTCTTTTAAACTTTTGTCACGATCGGAAACAACGACAGCGCCTACGAGGAACTAACAGAACCCGCACGACAGCGCTGGGGGCGCCTCGGCCCTGGCCGGCCTCCAGCCACGCGCCCTGGCGGGAAGCGGCGGCTCCCCTGCGGCCGCCCTGCAGAGCTTCTGGGCGCGAAGCCCGGGGCAGGGGCTGCAGCCCTGGCCGGGACGCCCCGACAGCCGTGGTGAGTGGACGGCTGCGCGGCCCTGCCTAGGAAGCCAGGCAGCGGCGGTGGCTCACGCCCCTGGGGCTGAGGGTGGGGCCCGGCGGGCACAGGGTCCCGCTCTGTCCCGTGGCCACCCCGACGCGCGGCTGCTGCGGCGCGTCCCGAGAGCCCAGGCGCGGCAGTCGGAGCCGAGGCAAACGCGGGTTCCGCTCGGTGCACTTACAGTGAACAGAGAGTTCAGCCCCCAGACAACATCCTGGAACAGGAAGGAAGCAGAGAGCAGTTTCAGC